AACTATTACAGCGTCCCGCCGCGCTCCGCTCGAATGCGGTGACCTCTTCTCTCGCACTTCTGCTCGCCTTTTTGGTGTGATGCAGAAAAACGTTAAGAACTCAGCATGGGGCGTTCGATTGGCGTATGGCTCCGCTACATTTCCGCGGTATTGGCCATCGTCCCCGATCAACGGTACTCGTACCCGGGCGACATAACCCAATACCTGCTATTTAGGTCCTGTGTCCTGAGGGGGTAAAGGTACATACCCTAGGTAGCCACCACACACCGGGTCGTCCTCACCTGCCGCGCGGCCCGCGCCCGGCGGCCTCGAGAACATGGTACCCGTGAAGCGCGCGAAAACGGACAAGAACGATAGCAACGATTCGCCCATGGTTCCGCTTGTCGCACAGGGGTCTGTGGGTGCGCGTTGCTATCAGAAGGACCTCTACTTTCATTTGAGAGGCGAACTGGCATGTCGATTTTTCTTGGGGCACCCTGCGCAGGCCTAACTTTATGTGCGCCAGGCGCGTCGAAGCGTAATAGGGTACCCCGCTCCGGGCGCGTGGTGGCTGAAAAAGACGGCAAGAATCACAAAAGTGGAGAGTGGGGGCACGCCGCGCCGCCGCTACGCGTGCTCTCCCACTCCGCGCTACGCGCTCCCTGCTTTTGCGCTTCTTGCCTTCTTCAGGTGCCGCGCGCCCGGAGCGGGGTACCCTGTAGTGTTTCGTGAGATATCGCGAAGCCTGTTACGCGAGACGTGGTCTGGCGTACATATAGCTAGTGTAATTTTACTTCAACCAGAGGTTAGTGAGGGTATTAAATAAAATTTCTTCATCTGATTGTAACAAGGGTTTGCCTTACCCAGAGTTATGCGATATTTGTTTGTTCTACTATTGTTCAATACATTGTAAGTTTTAACACTAGAACTACCGGAATTTTCGTATACCTAGATCTACCGGAGGGGTCATTTTGATCCCTAGGTACTATTTCGCCGTTTTAGCTGTGAAAAGACTGCGGTTTTGGGTACACAACTTCTTATTTTCGTTTTTTATAACACTTCAAGCAATTTTTGCACCCACGGGGGTCCCTGTGAAGGGGTAGGTAGGCAACCTGCAAAGCACAAAATGTAATTTTTCAGGAGTTTTACAGATTTTTTTCGTAATTTTTCGTTTTGTTTTGGGAAAATTTCATAGGTTTACCATCAAATACAATAATTCTCTTCATTTAAGCATAGTCTGTGTTTATTTCAGTCTGACCGACAACCGTAAACACCGCCAATACTGGAAGTAATTCTGAAACTTTGGTTCTGCGAATAGAACAGTGCACAAATATCGTGCAATAACAGTCGTAGTAGACCATTTATTATCATTTTTAACCTCCGTTCGACCATGTAGCGCGTTTTCAGGCTGACAGTACCGTAAAACACGATTTTTTGATGTGCGGGTTGCCTACCTATGCTTATAGAGCTTCAAAATAGTCACACGACCAAGCGGAAGTCAACACTTTCCACAAAAAACAACAATAATAGCAAGGTTTAAGTTGAAAACCGCTCGTTAAAACCATCAAAGCCCTCGGAAACTGACACAGGGGTCAAAATGACCCCTTCGGTAGAGCGAGGTATATGTTATAATATCTCCTAAAGTTTTTGACGCACATGCCTGGTTTTTCGTGTCAAAGCGTATTTTGGTGACCCATGAAAAGTCAAAAAGTGGCGGGTCGGTAGAAAAAAAATTGATAGTTCATTTGGCAATTCAAAATCGAAAGGGGTCATTTTGACCCCTCCGGTAGTCGAGGGGTGAACAACTGGTGTATTCCTCTGTCCCCGAGGCTTGTATTACCTAATATTACCGTATATTACCATGTATTCCATGTATTACTTTGTATTACCATGTATTACCTTGTATTACCTTGTATTACATTGTATTACAAGATTTTTTTCTCTGTAATACCTTATATTACTCTGTAGTAC